TCGGGCCTGTTGAGCTGGTGGAGGGGCACGGACATTAACACCTTATGGCAGATGCTTACCCCTTCAGGGGCTTATTTCATGGGCCTCATCACGGTCGGCTCCACCCACACTCTCTTGCATTTAGAGGGTTCTGGGTTGTCAATTGGGGGGATGCGCTAGCACCGCCAGTCTTCCGGAGGGGGGGTGGACTGTGCTGCACACCCCCCTTTGGTACTCCTAGTTTTAATTACACCTTAGAGCAACACACAACAACACCACATTCGAGCAGGTTTAGGCAGGATCGGGGTCTTCTCACAGACCACCCGGAGTCTGGGGCCTGGAAGAAAAAAACGAGCAGCCTGGTCCGTAGTCTTGCCAGAGAGCTGATGCGTGGCCTGGGGGGTCTGCCCGTACCAGGGCTGTCACTTCTGCTCTCCCCAAAAGAGGATCGAAGGAGGGGCATGTAGTAATTGAGGGGAGGAAGTGGCTAGGTGAATTAGTTAGGGGGGGGTGCTCTGTTTATGTGGCCTGTGCGGGGCATGTGGTTCCCGATCCCGGGGGGGCTTTTGCTGGGGGTGGTCTGGTCCGGGTGCAGTTTGGGGGACCTGGCCCAAAGCAGGAACGAGATGGGTTGGTGTGGCGGTGTCACCCCCTCATACGGATTTTAGGTTCACTTATTGTTTCATCCGATAATCCCGGGACCAACCACCGGTGCTGCTGGGTCTTTGGTCCTGGTATTATTGGATGTGAGTGTTATGTTTGAATGTGCGTTCGTATTTTTGTTTTGGCTCATCTCTACAGAGTCTGTGTGGAGTGAGTGGGGGCACTAGGGTTGGGTAGGCGTGATTGAGACTGTGAGTTTTTTTGGGGGGTCTGAACTACTCCCTCTCCCAAGCACATCTCAAGTCTCTGCCAAGTGCAGAGCCCATTTTCCCCATCCTGCTCTCCCTCCTCTGGCTGGTGCCTGGGCTCGCCGGTGCACTGGTGGAGCTCAGGGTTTGGGGGTGGAAGCCCAGCTGGCTACTGGCTTATTCTTGGTGGCTTCTCCGCGGGGCCCAGCTGGGGCTCCCGCTGGGGGGTGGCCCGCACCTGGGGCCTCGAATCCCTGGGGCCCATGGCTGGACTCACTTTGGGTTGGCTGGCTGCCGGCGGAGCCCGCAGACTCGTCCCCGCGGCTCCAGGGGGCTCCGGCATTGCGGTGGCTGGGGTACTTCCTCGGGGCTGTCTCTCCTACTCCCTTGGTGGGGGTTGGATTTCCTGGGCTGGCCCCTCCTTGGTGCTTTCGCTCTTGAGCTTCCTTTGGGCGTCTGGGGGTTTGGGTCTCCCGGCGCTGGACTCAGTACTCTCGGGGGGCGCCTCTTCGGCTCTTCAAAACCACTAATGAGCATTTTTTCTTTTGATAAACTTTACATGCACTAGTGCACTTTCACAAATAACTACAGGTGCTTGGTTCCAGGTACTCAGAGATTAACTTCCACACAGAAAGCCCACATTATTATCTTCAGGTAACACAGAGTACATGTCAGATTAAATAATACTACTTATACTGCAGCGATAGCATCTAGGTGTCACTTTATTGTATATCTTGTACCATGTCTGTTGGTTGTTCTGTTCTTTTTACATCTCTTTGGTGATGAAGCAAACTGAAAATGTTTTAGAAGCTCTAACAACAAAATGCCAAAAGCTCAGCCTTCTCCGCCTGAATTAGCATCATTACAGCTATTGGTGCCTCTGTAGTGAAAAAGATCATAAAAAAGGGTTACATAAAGTATTACTTTTATTTTGTATACAGGATTTTAAAGGGGAGTTTTTCCAGGATCAGAAAATCTGTTCTCCAAATAAAACAGTACCATACTTGTACCATACCTGAGTGCCATGTTTGTTTATCTCCTGCTGTAGAGGAGAGCAGGTATTGCTTGTTTCTCTACTCTATAGACTGACTGACTTTTCCTTCCAGTGCAATTGTAATTCCTATTAGGCTGAATGTCCTGTAGCTTTTAAAGTAAATAGGTACAGCATGCTGATGAATTCCCTGGAATTTCTATCAGCAGGGTAAAGCAAATCGAGAGGCTTTTAATCCTGCTGGTTTCAGTGGAAAAGGGGCTTAAGGTCCACTTTGCTAAAACAATTAAAAAGAAAGCTGCAATATTCCAAACAAGAAGAAATAAAGGAGTCTGGCTTTCAAGATGAACCTTAGACACATTCGGCCTTGGATTGGATATTTCTTACATGATAAAAACAGGGTTTAGAACAGCTTTTAAGCCCTAATATCCCGCCAAGATTTATAATGTTCAACCTAACAGAGGAGCCCCGAAAACCAAGCTGAGTGAATTTTCTAATCTGGAGCAGCCTCTGAATTTAATTGCAGGGATTTTTCAGTGCGCCTTTACATTTATAAAAGTCTCTGACTGTGTGAATGAAGAGTGGACGATCATCAGCAAACGGATGTTAGAAATTTTATATTGGCGGATAATTTTACCAAGAGGTCTAACTAACAAAAACAAAACTGGGTTTAAGACACATCCCTGAGGAGAACTCTACTCTATAGGAGTTGCTTCCAACAGAAAGTGTTTATATGCACAGTGAATTCTGTATTTATAAGGACAGCCACTTCAGGACAGTCCCAGAACTACCAAAGTCAGCTTTTAATCTCTGAAGTCATAGATTGTGATCTTAAGCACATATGTCCTGCTTTTTGGTTTTTGTTAGGGAATTATTTGCCATTTATAAAGTGGTGTCTTTAAGTTAAAGTGATATTAATTCATCCTGACAGTCATTATAATAAAAAAAAATTAATGTATTTGTTTTTCGGACATATCTTGATCGTGATGAACCTCTCACCAAGGTCATTAGTGCTGAAAGAGCTTTAACATGAAAGTCCTCTACTTGTAACAGTGATGTGAACTTTTCATAATTTAGTTAACAGACATGATGCAGTTAGACAGTCTCTGCCCTAACATAATTGATCATAATTACAAGTGATGTAATTATGTCATCTTTTCTGACTCCTAATAATCCTTCTCTTAGTCAGGATCTCTTTCTTTAACGGAGATAAACATAATAGTGTGGGCCCTTGATGTTTGATTTGGAGGGAGGGTCGGCCTGTTTAGGGCATTGCACTCGGAATCCAGAGGTCTTGAGTTCAAGCCCCACTCCCACTGACTGCAAAGACCCTTAACCAGTGACGTGCGGTGAGGTTCATAGCTGGTGAGGCACTGACGTCATCAGAATCAGATTTGCAAATAGATGCATAGATTGACAGCAGTTTACAGGTTATGTTTCACTTCTGCATCCTTACACATACAAACTGTAGCTCACAAAACACACATTTCCTTAAAAAACAAAACAAAATAAATGTTATTACTGTCTTACCTTTACTTATAAATGAATAGAAGTCCTCCTTATCTTCCTTCAGTTTTAAAAGTCTCTCTGTCTCAATGGAGATCACTGCCAGGGAAGAAAGCCTTCCTTGATCCGTCCTGTTCCTGCCTTATGTTTTCAGTCTCTTGAGCACCCCCTGCCATGAGGCAAGAGAACTGCCTGCCTCACCTCGAACTTGTTCTCTGCCGTTTATAATCGCTCATTACACGAAACACGTTACACAAACACAGTTGGTGACAAAAAGCTCTGTACATTATATACATAAGCCAAATTATTAGAAATAAGTTCACATATTACATTTGTTTAAACCATTTTATTGACGCCGTACAGCAACATGCTCTCTCCGCTTTGCAGCCAGCGCAGAGCCAGGGGTTGCGCAATCCAAGGTGAGGCAGAGCTCGCTGCTGCCTCACCGGCATCGCTTCCAAGCATTTGAATGGGAAAATAAGAAAATTCAGCGATTTTGAACAAATAAAAATCGAAATTGGTGAAGCTACGTGAAAAATGAATATTTTTTAGTACAAACCACCGGATGAATATAACAATTTAAATTACTTTATGATTATATATTTTCTTTCTTTCCATGATGGCTGGTGAGGCACTGCCTCACCTGCCTCCCCTGACCGCACGTCACTGCCCTTAACCCACACTGCGTGTCAGAATGGTGTGGTAGAATGGCAGCACACTGCTCCCCAAGGGGATGGGTAAAATGCATAGGTACATTTCTCCAGTGTGGGATTAATAAAGTTCAATTATTATGTCGCTTTGAGAATATTTGATCTGATACCACAAATGTCTCCTTATTTCAATTCAGTCTACTTATATAGTGATAATTCACAACGCATGTCATATCAAGGCACTTTAGAGAAACAATTCAACCAGATCATCCAGTCAGATTGATTTAAAATTTTCTATCTAAGGAAAACCAGCTGAGTGCATTGACTCATCGATTCCAAAGCAATCCCTCACACCAAGAATGCTTGTAATGACAGTGGAGAGGAAAAACTCCCTTTGAACAGGAAGAAACCTCCAGCAGAACCAGGCTCAGTGTGAGCGGCCATCTGCTGAGGCCCACTGGGGTTCAAGGAGACAGAAGCAGACATAGAAAAAGAAGCATAGATACAAAAGGCAACTGTCAACCAGCTCCACAGGCGGCCCCGTCCAGGAAACACACAGCCAGGCAGAAGAGCTCCGAGCCAGCTCCCATGTCAGAGGATGAAGAGAGCACATCCAGTTAGTCACAGTCAGAGAAACAGGACTACACTGGAAAACAGGCCGAGCTCCAACATCTAGAAACAAAGGTGTTGATGGCAGCAGCACAGCTGATATTTCTCTCCAAACAGGAACAGACCAGATGAAGCTACTATGAGAAAAAGTAGAGAGAGCAGAACGTTAGATAATAAAAGATTAGCATCCTCAGTTAGCCTAATTTCTGAGGTATAGGTTTTACCTTTAAGAAATCAGTAATTCTTCAATTACTCACTGCACCTTTTAGAAATAAACCATCAATTGACGTATTTTATACCCTTTTAAACATATTTCTAATGTGCTCTGATTAAAAGTGTGCTTTTTTGTTTGTAAACGTGGATGTTTTTTCAGTTGGTGTCTAAATTAACTGCTGCTTATCTGTTCTTTCCAAGCTGGACAATCCCGATGAGCAGGCAGCGCAAATAAGAAGAGAACTGGATGGACGGCTGCAGATGGCAGATCATATCGCTCGGGTAAAAAGAAAAGACTAATGGACATTTTTAAGGATGTTCCTGTAAAATTACGTCATAGTTTGACTATAAGAATTATCTTTAGAAGAAATGTTTGTTCTATATATTTTTCTGTTTGTTACTAACTTGCTTGTTTTACTATAATTTAAATATTCAATTACTATTTCCTGTGAAAGTTTAATAGCAAAATCAGCTATTTGTATGAATGATGATTCTAACAATATTTCAAAGCCCTCGTCAGGGACAGGTTATCGGTAATTAGTAATTAAAAGAAACACTATAAAACAGAAAAAAAACTATATGATTTTCTAAAGAAGCACATTTTTAACTTAAACAGGGGGAGAGAGTGAGGTTTTTGAATTTCTGGCAGGTTGAGTCGAGGTTTGAAGGACCCAAATGCAGACATGGAAGCTTAGGTGGTTTCTTGCAGGTTTAATATCCAAAGGGGCAACAGCAGTCTACAAACAAAATAACCCCTCATGAGGATAAAAAATGATGATGACCAGCAAACAGTGACGTAAAAGGAGGTGTATAAACGGGTGACTAAACAAAGACCAGGCTAATCAGCAGAATGGGAGCAGGTGTGGGCAGAAGAATCAAGAAGTGAGCTAGGCGATGGAGACTGACACAAGAGGGCAGCAGAGGGTAAACTAGAAACACATTAGACCTCAAATACAACCAGAAAATGACTAGAATAAAACAACATGGAATTAGAAACCAATGAAAACCCAAAAAGAAAACTTAAACAGAACCAAATCATGACAGGGAGGGAGTTCTGTTTTAGTGAAGCAGGGAAGCAAAAGCTTTACTATGAAGATGACCTAAGAGGGGGAGGCAACAAGTAGGAGATCTGACACATAAGAGGGAAGGCTGGGAAGGACTGAATGTGTTTAGGATAACTTTTAATTCTATTTTACATTAAACCGGAAACCAGTGCAGCAGTTGGAGGGATTGGAGGCAGAGATGAAAAAGGAACGAGCTGGTGAGAGGGGTGAGGGAGGGCGGCAGTGGAGGAGTCATATTACTCAAGTGAACTTGAAATGATGGTGTGGGTTTGTTTTTATTACTGACTCATTCATTTGTTTTCCTTCTCTAAAATTGAATATGTGCTACTCCAGTTTTAAACATTAAAATGCTGAAAAACTGGAAAAACAGAATGAAGCCAAACAAGGTAGAAGAAGATATGATGACGATAGGAAATCTTCAATTCACAGAGGCGGGACGTGGATGCTTTAGATCAAACAGGATGCAGCTTATTTCAGCTGGATGATTAAACTGTTCTTCTCCTGTTTCGTTAAGCTTGGAGAAAGGTTTCCGAGGTTCGTTTCCAGAGAGATGGAGGCCATGTACATCGAGGAGCTGCGATCGTCCGTCAATCTGCTGATGGCAAACCTGGAGAGCATGCCCGTGTCCAAGGGGGGCGAGTTCAAGCTGCAGAAGCTGAAACGTGGACACAACACCTCTATTATGGACATGGGTCAGGAGGATGAAAACCTGCTCTCAAAGTCTGATGTTGTCTTGTCCTTCACCCTGGAGGTAAGACATTTCCCAAAAGACAAAATCTCTAAAAACCAGCATTATATAAGAAATATATAGAAACGGATAAAATGCATGTTCTAATGACTTTAAAATGCATTTACCCGATTTCTTCTCAGTCATATCTGAAGTTGATCTTAATGGGTTTGTTTGTTTAGATTGTGTAAAATCATAATGTTCAGAATCAGAAAGTAAATCAATCAGTCAACTGTTATTTCTGAAGTTTGTTATGACAACCAAAGCAGCTCAAGGGGCAAAGGGATGTACAAAACAATATATATACTATGGAAGCTCATTGGTAGAATTCCCTTATGACAGAAATAAGGCCACGATTCACACCATCTATCATCCAGAGGGGGGGAACATTTATTTACAAAACCGAATTCATACAGCTGTCTTAAACACTTCTTGCATTCAGCGCTATGTCCTCACATCTGTTATTTCCCCCAACCTTCAGTCCATTTGAACCAGCCTTTATAGTTTCCACAACACATTACGTAACTGCACATGCACAGGAATATTGTGTCGACATCTTACTGGAATTCACGTGTGCTGATTTGCGTCAAAGTCACTGCGACTCTCAAGAGGTGTTTACACAGAAGTTCTCTGTTTTTGCCAAACCCCCTCATGCAGCCTTGGAGACCATGCTGTTACTAAGACTCAAAACTGACCTTTAAGTTTTGTTGCGAAGTAAGTATAGGGCCATGTTGTAGGATACATTCTGATTTCTGATTCTGATATAAGACAATAAAATTGCTTCTACAATACAAGTAAAACACTTTACTTATAAATTGAAGGTGGGCAAAGGTAAATTTTTTAATCTACAATAATCTTATTGTCATCTTGGAATTAATCTAGATCAAAATGGCTCATTTGAAATCTGCCAAAGAGATTCATGAATAGGAATCAGAATCACTTTATTAATTCCTTACAGCAGAGGGACAACAAGACAACAAGTCAGTAGGAAAGTTCAAAACGTTTATTATTATAAAAACATAAACAAACTGAAACTAAAGTGGAGCTGCTAGGATCTGCGGCCCGCAGATGCTGCAGGAGGGGGCGGGGCAATCTCAGACAGTGACCACGATCATCTGACAGAAAATGATGATCTCAGTGAGTCACTTACCTGGTTCAACAGTACAGTCCATCTCCCTGGAAAGTGGCGCAATCCAGCTGCTGCACTGAGGAATGACGTGGCATGCGTCACCCAGAGTGTCCTTGGTGCCGCAGTCCCAGAGGACTTGTAGGAAGCCGATCCTGGACAGGGATTCAGAACAGGCAGGAACAGACAGAACAGGCAGGATCCAGGTTTCCAGGCATCCTAGAGCTCGCAGGCAGGTTCAGAGTCAGAAGCGTGACCAGGCAGACACGCACATGAGCAGACAAGATCAGGTGCAGATGGGCAGGCTGACTGGAAGAGGGTAGCTGAGACAGGACGTGGAACCAGAACTTAAGCAGGATCTTTAAACTGGTCTCCACCTTGGAGCCAGACTTACTGGGATAAAAACTGAACCTCCACGCCTATAGAGCCAAAAACCCAGAGGACTCATCAGGGGAGGAACAATGGACGATTAGGAGACGAGACAGACACAAACCCCTCTTTCCTCTTGCTGCCAGGGTCCAGGACATGAACCTTAGAATAAACAGAACTGAACAGATTGAATGGAGAACAACATCTAATGATCTCGGCCATGATATCTGGAACTGAGCCCCATATAACTGAAACTGGCAGGTGGATGGGATGAACGTTAATTATGAGCTGGAAGGGGTGAAGCAGGTGAAAGGCATGAGCATTTAAGGCCAGTTACCACAGCAGATCATGACAAAAGTAGATTTTTATTTAAAAAAAGAGGCATTTAGTTAATTTTGTAAAATATTTGCATTGATCTCAAATTAAATAAAAATGCATTCTTATTAGGGATGCATGATATTTATCGGACCAATAAAATATTTTACTGGTACAAATAGCCGATAAATCAATTAAATCGGGTGTACTTTTATTCGGGAAGAGCAGCGCCTTACTAGCAGGACCCAAGCATGGCTCCTTCATTACCTGACTGTCACTTCCCGAGCTGCCCCGGAAGCCCAATCCCTCCTTTGCATGCGCAAACAAAATAATAAGCGATACAGATACCCGAAAAACTACATAACAACGGAACTGGAAATACTAATTATATACTAAAAACAATAATGAATGCTAAACTACATTGCATAGAAAATATTAAAGACTTTTCTGGAAAAAAATCTATTAGTTTTACATTCTCTCCATTGTATTGCGTGACATCATCATCGCACAGGCTCAGAGCAGTCACATTATCATTCTAAAGGCTATTTAAGTGTATGGCTTTTTTTTTAAGAATATGCAATATTTCCGCAAATACAAAAAAGACAAAAGAATAAAAAAGTAAGAAAAACTAAGTATTGCCTACCTGGAAGTTTTTCTGTTCACGCACGAGCAGGACTGGTCGTGCTTCTGGGATGGATCGGATAGTGACACCGACTGTTAATGAAGAAACGTGTCTTCACGCTAGAGAACGCGGAGAACAGATGTCTACATTTAGATGGTTTTTGAAAGCTGTGAAAACTTTTCAAGAGAGTGAAAAAGGAAAAGCTTTGAACAACAAAGTGATGGTATTTATCGCGCTCGACAACCAGCCTTTTTCTGTCGTTGAGAACCCGAGTTTATGTAATTTGATACCACTTTTGGCGCCCCGTTACACCATCCCGAGCCATCGCCTCTTCTCCCATGCCCTTAATAACGTTGCAACACACACCCACAACTTGATCAATAAGAACCCACTGCACGTACGCTTTACCTCAGACATATGGACGTCAGATGCTAGTCCGGTTAGCATGCATTCAGGCAACGTTCTGTTGATTATTCACGCCCTTTTTTAAACTGTCATTGACATTTTTTGTTACCGAAGACATACATGTGTTATTACATCTAATTTAATCTAGTTTCATGTTTGAAAACATTAGACTTTGCTCCACTAAGATTTTGAAACTTTTTTTTAAGATGCCCTTTTTCTTCTACGTTAGTTTCCATTTATTTTTTTTCTTACCAAGTGACCTTTAAACGTCGGTTCAATAATACATTTTAAGGGATGCTCTTTGTGATTGAATGGAATTGTCCTTTGCTACTGTTAATTTAAGCAAGAGACCACTGTTATGTGTGATGACATGAAAAAAATAAACATTTGAAGAGCCTTATGTTGTTCAGTCTTTAAGCTAATCACACAACTGGGTTCTATTTGTTCCAGGTGGTTATAATGGAGGTGCAGGGTCTGAAATCCTTGGCATCAAACAGAATAGTTTACTGCACCATGGAGGTCGAAGGAGGACACAAGCTACAGACAGACCAAGCTGAAGCCTCCAAACCAATGTATGTAACCCCCCCCCCAGACATTTGATAAAATGATGTCGTTGGTAAAATGCTAAAATTGAATGTATGCATAAGGCTTTCCACGAGTAGAAAAAAGGAAATACTCGCTGTTTGCAAAGTTCTCCTGTTTTTCTGCTCTGGTCAGTCTCACACTGAAGGTCAAAAAGCTGTATTTAAAAAAAGTAAAAAAAATCAAACCACTGGAAATGTGGTTTGAAACGGGTGTGAAGGAAGCCATTTATGTTAAGAGAGAAAAAACAACCTGGTGTTCTCAGGTTCCGTCTCTCAAAAACCTAAAACGCAGCAATAGAGTTGATTCCTTCCTGCTTCATCTAAACCCCCGTCGCTATTTGGGGACCAAAACATCTCGCCTGGTCGGCCAGGCCAACAATTATCCTAACAACTCCCTTTTCAGAGGCATAGGCCAGCATAGGATATTGCAGGCCAACAAATATCTCAGCAACTGCCTTTTACAAAGGGGTGGACCTGTTCTTCTGGTTCAGTTTGCATGTTTTCTAAACCACAACAAGGCGTTGTTGGGTTACTCTATAAAGCTTGGAACTTAACGCTAATCCACACATTCTGAATTGAAAAGCTTCCTGGATGGGAAGCAAAACGTCTTCAAACTTGGAAAACAAAGTACAGTGGTTTGTTTTTTTAACTTTTTTAGAATGACTATGACCTGGATGATTGAGAATCTTTACCAGCATACCAAAACTGTATGGAGCTAGATCGGTGTCAATTTTCACAAAAAACACTCCGCTGCACCTCTACCAAATTGTAGATGAACGCAGACAGTGCAGCAGACAGGAGGCCGGCTTTTTTGTTTTCATGACCACGATTGCGGAAAACGACCCGTGAAGTTTGACCAGCTAGAATACTGAGCGCTAACCTGGAAGATGCTTCTGCGGTGCATACATAGGGCATAGATCCAGGGACCTTGTCAGTTCTCAGTCTTGTGTTCTTGTGAATTGGAACAGTGCTGGCCTGAGGCTGATGATGTTCTATGAGGACATGAGAATGCACTAGTACACATATTGAGAAACGGCCCTTATATACTGTAATAGCAGATCATGGCTGATGTAAAGTGAGTTGAAAGGGGAAAAAGGTGCTTTGCCCCCTCCATGTTGCTGTGGCTTAGACTGCTGTAGGACATAGGGACCCCTTTTAATTTAATCTCTATTCTCCCATTCTGCAGTAGTAGTTAGTTCAACCACTAACTTTATGAATTCTCTGCTTTTTCTCATTGTAGCTTCATCTGGTCTGTTCTTGTTTGGCTGTGACACCATTACATTTACACACAATTTCTGCATTTCTACACAATTACATTTCCAGCTTTTTTATTGTCATCTCATTGTCACAAGTACAGAGCAATGAAATTTACTCTGCATTTAACCTATTCCCTTGGGAAGCAATGGGCCGCCATTGTGCGGCTCCCGGGGAGCGGTGTGGGGTTAAGGGTCTTTGCTCAGGGACCCAGAGTAGCAGTCCGTGGGAGTGGGACTCAAAGTTAGAACCTCAGGAATCCAAGCTCTATGCCCAACCACTAGGCCACTATCCCTAAATCTCTGCATTTACTGTAACACATCCCCTTGGGTTAACAGTGGGCTGCCATTGTGTAGTAGCCATTCAAAATTCCCCCACTTTCCTTTGATTGGCCTTTGGCTGGTCCCCTACAATTTCTATTTAAACATATTAGATATTATTTCAGTCAAGATTTGTGGACATTAAGATCTGAAGAGAGGCATTATCTGCTGGTCGGACCCTGTAATTCAGTGAAAGTGTGGAGTCAGAGTAAGAAACATTTGCACACCCATCAGAAGGCCAGTGGCTGGAAGTTGGAGGGGATGTTGCTGCCATTTTGCTGTCTTTGACTGGTAAGGGCCGTATATCTTTATTAGTCCTCCAAAACCCTGACCACCCAGGGTGCAGACCAAGAAGCAGAGTTGTAGTTTAACAGACCTCTCTGCAGCTTCTCTACTGTTACCCACTCTTTACTCCATCCAGACAGTGTCTTGTCCACGACCAAAATCTAATAAATTAGCAAATATTCCCAAAGGAGTAAATCATGATAATTTAATTACAATAAAAATAAGTCCAATTGGGAGAAGAGAACAATTAAATGTGGTCTATTTAACATAAGTTATCTTTCCTCAAAAAGTTTGCTATTTAATGACTTGATTTGTGATAATCACATTGACTTGTGTTGCCTTACAGAAACTTGGCTGCAGCAAGAGGATTATGTGAGCATAAATGAGGCAACTCCTTCTAGTTATTGAAATGTTCACATAACCAGAAGTTCTGGGCGAGGAGGAGGAGTAGCAACAATCTTCCAGTCTAACTTACTGATTACTCCCAAAACAGTTAATACCTACAACTCTTTTGAACATTTAACCCTTAATTTCCCTGATCCAAATTTCAAGGCAAGAAAACCTCTTCTTTTTGTAACTTTGTATCGTCCACCAGGTCCTTACTCTGAATTTTTAGATGAGTTTTCAGAGTTCCTTTCTGATTTGGTATTAAATACTGACAGGGTCATCATAGTGGGAGATTTTAACATCCATGCTGACATTGAAGGCGATAGCTTAAGAGCAGCCTTTAATGCTATCTTAGACACTTTTGGCTTTGTTCAAAATGTGAATAGTCCCACACATTCTCATTTTCATACTTTGGATCTTGTGCTGACATACGGCATAGAATGTGAAGAAATAACAGTATTTCCTCACAGCCCTGTGCTTTCTGACCACTTTTTAATAACCTCTGGGATTACTTTATCAGAGTTCTCCTCCCCCAAAAGAAGGTTCTGCTTTAGCAGATCATTATCAGATAGTGCAGCTATAAATTTTACAGAATTTGTTCCACGTTCTCTCTCCTCTGTGTCGCTGAGCAGAGCTGCAGAGTGCAAAAGCATAGCTTATTCCCCTTCACAGGTTGATGATTTTGTGGATGAAGTTGCTAGTTCTCTGCGTATTGCCTTAGACAACGCAGCTCCTTTGAAAATTAAAAAAGTTTAAAATAGAAAGCTTGCTCCTTGGTTTAATGCAGAGCTGCGTACTTTGAAGCAAAATGCTAGGAAACTGGAGAGAAAGTATGATAGTAAAGAATTACAATCGAAAACTTGTTTGGCAACTACTTTCTCAAGAATTTTGGATAAGAAGGGAAGATTGGATATAGGTCTATAATTGACCAAGTCATCTGGGTCAAGAGACGGTTTCTTAAGCAGAGGTTTAATTACAGCAACCTTAAAAGCTTTAGGTACATATCCCTGTAACAGAGATTGATTAATCACATCTAAAATGGAGGAGGAGATCAAAGGGAATACCTCCTTAAATAACCTGGTTGGAACTGGATCTAACATACAAGTTGAAGGCTTAGATGAAGACAATAATTTTGCTAACTCAGAAAGTTCAACTGGATCAAAGCAGTCTAAACCCGGTTCAGATTCCATGACTACCTCAGGTACAATCGCGGATAGAGGAGTGCTTATGATCTTATTTTTAATAAGATCAATCTTATTTATAAAGAATCCCATAAAATCATTGCTTCTAAGAGCAGGTGGAATGGACAGTTCAACAGAGCTATGGCTCTGGGTGAGTTTGGCAACTGTATTAAAAAGAAATCTAGGATTATTCTTATTCTCCTCTATTAATGAGGAGAAGTATGCTGCTCTTGCTTTACAAAGGGTCCTCTTATACAGCAGTAAACCATTTTTCCAGACTAGGAAGGACTCTCGCAGGCCTGTGGAGCGATATTTTCTCTCCAGTTTCCTAGCATTTTGCTTCAAAGTACGCAGCTCTGCATTAAACCAAGGAGCAAGCTTTCTATTTTTAACGGTTTTCATTTTCAAAGGAGCTGCGTTGTCTAAGGCAATACGCAGAGAACTAGCAACCCCCTCAACAAAATCATCAACCTGTGAAGGGGAATAAGCTAAGCTTTTGCACTCTGCAGCTCTGCTCAGTGACACAGAGGAGAGAGAAAGTGAAGCCGATTCTTTAAAATTTATAACTGCACTATCTGATAAAGATCTACTAAAATTGAACCTTCTTTTGGGGGAGGAGAACTCTGTTAAAGTAATCCTGAAGGTTATTAGAAAGTGGTCAGAGAGGACAGGGTTGTGAGGAAATACTGTTATTTCTTCACATTCTATGCCGTATGTCAGCACAAGATCCAAAGTATGAAGATGAGAATGTGTGGGACTATTCACATTTTTAACAAAGCCAATAGTGTCTAAGATAGCATTAAAGGCTGCTCTTAAGCTATCGCCTTCAATGTCAGCATGGATGTTAAAATCTCCCACTATGATGACCCTGTCAGTATTTAATACCAAATCAGAAAGGAACTCTGAAAACTCATCTAAAAATTCAGAGTAAGGACCTGGTGGACGATACAAAGTTACAAAAAGAAGAGGTTTTCTTGCCTTGAAATTTGGATCAGGGAAATTAAGGGTTAAATGTTCAAAAGAGTTGTAGGTATTAACTGTTTTGGGAGTAATCAGTAAGTCAGACTGGAAGATTGTTGCTACTCCTCCTCCTCGCCCAGAACTTCTGGGGATGTGAAAATTTAAATAGCTTGAAGGAGTTGCCTCATTTATGCTCACATAATCCTCTTGCTGCAGCCAGGTTTCTGTAAGGCAACACAAGTCAATGTGATTATCACAAATCAAGTCATTAACTAGTAGACTTTTAGAGGAAAGCGATCTTATGTTAAGCAGACCGCATTTAATTGTTTTAACTTTTTCCCCAATTGGAGTTATTTTGATTTTAATTAGATTATCATGATTTACTCCTTTGGGAATCTTTGCTAATTTATTATATTTTGGTCGTGGGCAAGACACTGTCTGGATGGAGTAAAGAGTGGGTAACAGTAGAGAAGCTGCAGAGATGTGTGTTAAACTACAACTCTGCTTCCTGGTCTGCACCCTGGGTGGTCAGGGTTTTGGAGGACTAATAAATGTGGCCAGATTCCTAGAAAGAAGAGCTGCACCATCCAAAGTGGGATGGATGCCGTCTCTCCGAATCCGACCAGGCTTTCCCCAAAAGGATTGCCAATTATTAATGTAGCCCACGTTGTTTTCAGGGCACCACCTAGACAACCAGCGGTTAAATGACGACATGCGGCTAAACATGTCATCACTGGTCAGATCAGGGAGGGGACCAGAGAAAATTACGGAGTCCGACATTTTTTTGGCAAACTTACACACCGAAGCAACACTAATTTTAGTGACTTCCGATCGGCGTAACCGGGTGTCATTACCACCAGCGTGAATAACAATCTTACTGTATTTAACCTTATCCTTAGCCAGTAGTTTCAGGTAGGATTTGATGTCGCCCGTTCTGGCCCCCGGCAAACATTTGACTATGGTCCCTGGTGTCTCTAATGCCACGTTTCTGACTATGGAGCTGCCAATCACCAGAGTGGGCTTCTCAGTGGGTGTGTCACTGAGTGGGGAAGTTTGTTCATGTTAATGATAGATCTTCAACACGCTCAAAGGTTACCTGTGGAGTACCACAGGGATCAGTGCTAGGACCAATTCTCTTTACTTTATACATGCTCCCAATTGGTAGAATTATTAGACAGCATGGGATTAATTTCCACTGTTATGCTGATGATACCCAGCTATATCTGTCTATAAATCCAGATGAAGCTAACCCATTACATAGATTACAGGCATGTCTTGAAGACATAAAAACCTGGATGACTCTTAACTTTCTGCTTCTGAATGCAGATAAAACAGAAGTTATAGTCTTTGGACCAGAGTCTCTGAAAAAGAAGCTGATTAGTCAGTCACTTCATTTGGATGGGATTAAACTGATTTCAGATAATAAAGTAAAAAATCTTGGTGTTATTTTTGATCAGGACCTGTCATTTAAATCCCAGATCAAAGAGGTTTCTAGAATTTCCTTCTTTCATCTGAGGAATATTGCAAAAATGAGAAATCTCCTGTCCAGGGGTGATGCTGAGAAACTAGTCCATGCATTTGTTACTTCAAGGCTGGACTATTGTAATTCTTTACTATCAGGAAGTCCACAAACTGTAGTTAAAAGCCTTCAGCTGATCCAAAATGCTGCAGCCAGAGTTCTAATGAAAATGAAAAAGAGAGATCATATCTCTCCTATCCTGGCTTCTCTTCATTGGCTTCCTGTTAAATCAAGAATAGAATTTAAAATCCTCCTTCTCACATATAAAGCCTTAAATGGCCAAGCTCCATCTGATATCAGAGATCTGATTGTTCCTGATGTTCCTAACAGAGCACTTCGCTCTCAATCTGCAGGTTTACTAGTGGTTCCTAGAATTTCTAAAAGTAGAATGGGAGGCAGATCTTTTAGTTATCAGGCTCCTCTCCTGTGGAACCAACTACCAGTTTTAGTCCGTGAGGCAGACATTTGCTGAGGTCTGTCTCACACACTACAGGACTACACTGGAAAACAGGCCAAGCTCCAACATCTAGAAACAAAGGTGTTGATGGCAGCAGCACAGCTGATATTTCTCTCCAGGATGGAGTCACAGCCAAACAGGAACAGACCAGATGAAGCTACTATGAGAAAAAGCAGAGAGAGCAGAACGTTAGAGATTGAACTAACAGATTCTGCAGAGTGGGAGAATGGAGATAGAATGAAGCAGAATGATGAAAAAGGGGTCCCTATGTCCTCCAGCAGTCTAAGCCTATAGCAGCAGAACTATAGAGATAGATCAGGATAACCTGAGCCACTCTAACTAGAAGCTTTATCAAAAAGGAAAGTTTTGAGCCTAGCCTTCAAAGTTGAAAGTAGATGATCTGGTGAACTGTAAAGTGCCCTAAGATGACATGTGTTGTGAATTGGTGCTAAAGAAGTCAACCAGAACCCAGAGCTACTTCTTTTCTCAACTTGCAGTGTTTTGACTTTGCATTTGTGTATTAGCACCATGCATGTTTTTGGTGGGTTTTCTATTTGCAGTTTCTGTTTAAAAGTGATGAAATAATGTATATTTTTTTATAACGAAATACCCTAAAATATCCAAAATATCCTCAGTGTATGTATAATCCTTGCTCACTGTTAAGCTGGATTTAGTCCTGACTCCTGCGCTCAAACTCAACTTTCTTTTATTGTTGTGTCCTTGTTTCTAGTTGGGGAACCCAAGGTGACTTCACAACCACCCAGCCTTTACCTGCTGTGAAAGTAAAGCTGTTCACTGAAAGCACTGGAGTGTTGGCATTGGAAGACAAGGAGCTAGGAAGGGTCTGAGACCAATATATTTAACTAATGCATTAATTTGTTCTCTTACAGGGGAAACTAATGCAATGAATGTTTTTCCAGGTGGTGCTTCATCCGACTCCCAACAGTCCCAAACAGTGTGAGCTCCATAAAATGACAGTTTCTAAAGGCTGCCCTGATGACCTCAAGATAAAACTAGCAATCCGCATGGATAAGCCACAGAACATGAAGCATTGTGGGTAAGTTAAAGTGTTGTTTTAGGCTGATGACCTTAAAAAGTACAATAAAATCTATAGATTTGTAATATTTATGCAAATTTCATTCAAGGTATGTTTTGGAGATGCACTACAGAGTTCAACTAGTGTCTATATGTTTATCCAGTTTCGTTTCATACTAATTTTAGTACGTCTTTCGCTGTAGTTGGTAAGGGTGTTTGTTGCTGGCAAAAGGTGCATCACATGTCTTCTGATGTCTTAAATAATATTTTGAAAATAATTGGGGGTCAACTAGGTAAAAAAAAAACAATTTAATTCTATTTCTATGTATTTCTACTATTTTTTTTTTTTTTTTACTTATAAATTTATAACAGAAATTAGAAGAAAGATACCCCTGAGTGGAGCAGAGACTCCTTCATCTCTATCTCTGATACACTAGCGGCCTGGGACCTTGTTGAGGATCTTAGTACCATATTTGGACTGATGCTACAGGCGCTTTTCTGGCTTGCAAAAAAGTGCCTTCCGATTCATTTTTGAAGCTTTTACACATTAAGATCAGACGTACCTCCAGACCATCCTTGAATCTGCTGAAGTGTGTTCAGTAAAGTGAGTCCAGATGCTTCTGCTGCTCCTGTGTTCAATGGCAGAGAGCAGCTTTGCTATATTAGCTGTGATCAGTGAGTAGAAAGTAGTTATAATAAATTTTTAAGTGAGAAAGTCCACCTGAAGATATCAGTTCATCCAGATTACCATCCTGCCTTCAATTATTTTTTCTCTGTGGGAGCCGCTCAGACCCCCAAATATCGTCGTCATTTGCTGTCACTGGGAATCCCCAGCAGCAGCTGCCTCTTTGGGGTTTTCCGCTACTGTTGGTGGGGGCTGGAAGTAGACTTAATTGTTTTTCAGGTATGTGGTACAAACTGCAGGCACCAGAATAATAAAAGCAAACATATTTTGTAGGCAGGTTTCTACATTTTTAGTTAATTTTGGAATTAACAAACTGTTTAAGAGGAGTGATCATAGTGCTCTGCATCAGCAATGCTGTGCCTGTCTCCCTGCAAGCTTCCACATCAGTTTCTCTGATTGGTTGATGTGTCGCGTCAAGCAGCATAAGAACTTGTCAAATGTTCTAGATGTTGCAACAGAGCTGATAAAGATTCATGTTTAGGTGTCAAAACCTTTTCAAACAGAGTGAAAGGCCAGTCGCCTCCAATTCAGGCGGATGAAACAATGTAAAACAGGTGGATCAGTTATGAAAAACATTATTTGCTTTTATTTTTTTATTCAAACTTTTTAATTTATTTATACTTTCCTGATGAATTAATCTAAAAACATTTCATTGGTATTCCAGTAATAAAACCCTTTTTACACCTAACCAGATTTCTGCACATTTCTACAAGATAGTGGTAACTAGTTGAATGATCTTGAGCAATGACATAGGTGATAATGATCGTTTAAAAAATAATAATTTGTTCCTCAGTAGGTAATTCAATTCAATCCAATTCAGTTTATTTCTATAGCACCAATTCACAACATGTCATCCTCAAGGAACATTACAATTCAACCAGATCATCCAGTCAAATTGATTCAAAGTTTTCTATATAATGAAAACAAGTTCATTTGAATTGATTGATTGACTCTTCAGCAATCCCTCACACTAAGCATGCTTGTGGCGACAGTGGAGAGGAAAAACTCCCTTTGAACAGGAAGAAACCTCCAGCAGAACCAGGCTCAGTGTGAGCGGCCATCTGCTGAGGCCCACTGGGGTTCAAGGAGACAGAAGCAGAATTACAGAAAGAAGTTAGTGTTAGACTTAGACAACCTTTATTGTCATTTTGTATACACAGTGTATACAAAACAAAATTTCATTTCATAAAGCTTTCAGAACATTTCTATTCCATAAATTGCAGCAGTGATCCAATGTAAACAGTGTGGGAGAATATGATATGGAAGTTCAGAACATTAAATACATGGAGCAAGGAAGTCCAAGTGCTTCTGGGCCCTTTGGACCAGGGAGGTGATGTTTACTGTCCAGGTGAGGTTGTCTGTTGGGATTCCTTCTTAGCTTAACTAGCCCACCTTTGCAGCCCCTTTTTTGCCATCTAACACATAGTTTTCTCCAGCCCTCATCCTGCCACAGCCTGGTCCCTGGGCCCGCTGGATTGTTTTCATCCATCCGAAGCACTCCGCAGCTTTTTAAACGGTCAAGAGTTGCAGTATTTAAGAGTTCAAAAACAAAATTTTCTGATAAGAACTAGCAGACTTTTTGAGGAAAGAGATCTTGCTAATTGCTAAATATGCTAAATAAACCACATTTATTCGTTCTAACTTTTTCCCCAATTGGAGTTTTTTAATTTTAATTAGAATATCATGAATTACTCCTTTGGGAATATTTGCTAATTTATTAGATTTTGGTCGTAGGCAAGAGACTGTCTGGAAAGAGTAAAGAGTGGGTAAAAGTAGAGAAGCTGCAGAGAGGTCTGTTAAACTACAACTCTGCTTCCTGCCTAAAACAATCTAGTGAACATTTTGTTTTTATCAGTCAGAGACAAATAAGGGCCACATATGCTCGTATATCAGAAAATATCCAACACATGTTTTAATATTTCTGACCCACTCAACCTAGGATTACCACTTGTCCTGCAAAATACAGAATGGTCCTTTTGTCATGATGGGATTCAGGTTTCTAAACCACATGCAGAACACAACGGAGGCAGATGAAAAGTTTGACTGTTTATTGAAACAAACACAAAGTTATAAGAAAGATGCTGAGAAACAGATCCGGGACTGGTCACACAGGGTTCTCTGTAGAGAGGGACAGTTAGGTTAGCCAGGATGCGGAAGATCTTTCCCAGAGGATTTGTGCAGGTTTGTACCTGTGACGTGATTCTGGTTTAGCAGCAGAGGGAGGGAAGCAGGAGGCTCCAGAGGCTGGAAGTTGGCAGAGGGCTAAGCAACGGCAGGGCTCGACTTCAGACTTATCAGTGTTCAGGTCCAGAGTTTCTTCCGATCCTCTTCTTGAGGGCGGGCAGGCAGGTTCAGACAGTAAGATTCTTCAGATGAGCTCCTGAGAGCCGGCAGGCAGATTTCAGCAGAGGAAACTCTTCCAGAGTTCCAGGGTTCAGTCAGGTTTCTTCCTAGGAGGCAGAGAAGACAAAAACTGATCAGGCTCAAGTTCAAGTTTCAGGAGAGTCAGAGAATCAGACAGGCAGGTTGGCTCAGGCTTCGCTAACCATAACTGGCTTAACACTCTGGCGCTGGAGTGTAGTCCTGCCGCTGCTTATATGCTGGTCTCCTGATGACTGATGGGTCGCAGGTGTGGTCGTAAGCTCACACCTCTGCTGGAGGAAGGTGGACAGACCTCCAGATCCCAACACCTCTCCCACAGCCCAGGGAGAGGGCTGCCACCTTATTTTCTCATCATTACTTTTAATCTGTGGACCCTTATGGACAAATGGAGTATAAACAATTGAAGATTGGATATATAAAACAGCTTCTGGACGCCTTCAAAGGCATGTAGTTGGGGCTGCTTTGTCATGTTTACATTTTGATATGCTGCTATACCTGTGTAATTGTGCTTTAGTGTTGGCTGTGTCCATAAAATGAACTTGGTGGTTAAATTATGTAGAATCTAGGGTTATGTATGAACCCTTAGTGGTTAGGGTAAGGGTTGGGTTAGGCTGTAGAAATTAAAGTCGATGAAAAGGCCCAACAGAGATAGTGATTTGTACATTCATAAACCTAGAGACTTGTCCAGGATTGACCCTGCTTTTCCCTGTAGACTTCTGGAAATGGGCACCGGCCCCACTGTGACGCCCCACTGAAATTCACTCTCTGCATTCAACCTTCCCCTTGGGGAGCAGTGGGCTGCCATTGTGTGGCCCCTGGGGAGGAGTGTGGGGTTAAGGGTTTTGCTGCGGAACCCAGGGTGGAGGCTGTGGGGATCGAACCGGGTACTTGCAACTTTCTCAGAACAGAAGTGCACTGCTCTTACCACTAGGCCAACTCCCCCCATGCAGATTATATTAGATCTTTGAAAATGTCTTTATTGCACATTCAACACAAATAGATCACATCTTTACAAAAAAAACAACTATAAATTAAAAGAAGCATTAAAACACACACCATTACGAAATGTTGGTTTCTCTTTACATGCTCTCAAATTCGTACATTGGATACTGAGAGGAATTTCTCTCACGTCTGTACATATTTTTCCTTATCTGGCAGTCCTAACCCTTCCTTAGTGCTTTTCTTTTTCATTGGTTGTGTCTAAACATTCACAAACAGAGCATCATTCAGGCTGCTGGTATGTTTGTGCCTCTTCAAATCACATCACTTGGGACTGTAGGGCCACCTTTCTATCAAAGATCAGGTGTTAAATGAAAGAGGTGTTTTTATTTTTTGGTTGTGCGGAATGGTATGTCAATACAGCATTCCGCACAACAAATAAACTTAAGTTAGAATAAATATGTATTATAGCCCATATTTCTATATTATGTATATATAATCTTTTGGCCATATATATATATATATATATATATATATATATATATATATATATATATATATATATATATATATATATATGTGTGTGTGTATATATATATACATATATATACATATCTGTATATATATATATATACATATATATATATACATATATATATATACATATATATATGTATATACATATATATATACATATATATATACATATATATATATACATATATATATATATACATATATATATGTATATACATATATATATACATATATATATATATATACACATGTATACATATATATATACATATATATATATACATATATATACATACATATATATATATATATATATATATATATATATATACATATATATACATATATATATATATATATTTTGTAAATATGGGAAGCGAAGTGTCTTTTTTGGAACTTTTATATACAATCACTAAAAGATATTTTGCATGTAATTTACATTAAATAGCTGTTTTTCATAACTCTCACAGTAAGAATTGCATCAATATACTGTGAATCGTATTCATCATACAACAACTTACTGTAATTTTACAATTTGTCTCAGTTTATTTCTATAGCACCAATTCACAACACGTCATCTCAAGGCACTTTACAGTTCACCAGATCATCCAGCTGTGATATTACAATATATTGCTTTGAAAGTACAACTGCATACTGTAACTTTCCAGCTTCAATAACAAAACAATGATCTTGATATTACAGGACATTACTGTGAAATTACAGCATTTTCGTTCAAATTGATAAATTTAAGGCCCTGTACTTTTACATGATGTAATGTGAAAATAATGTACAAGTTGACAGTAATTTACTGTGAATTTATAGCGTATATTGTATTCTAAAAATATTTACTGAGAAAGTAATGCAAATGAATTCATTTTCAGTTCATTTACAAACATTGAACACACAACTCTTTAGTCAATGTTAGCTCAATGGCATATTCATTAAAAAAATACATGTTTTTCAACAGACAACAAATTATAAGAACCTTAAGAATAAAATAAATTAAACTTTCTGCACATAAACATCTTAAAATCCATATCAGCATGCTCTGCCACTGAAATTAGTCTTCACACAATTGGCCAGTTGGTAAATTAAACCAAACCCTGTTGTGCGTGTAAATATATATAGATATTAAAGTGTTCATATATAAACCTTTATATCTATATATTGTAAAGATATTTCTACAGAACATTGTGTGAAATTCTGTATATATATATATTTTGTTTGCACCATCAACACCAAGTCAAATTCCTTGTAAGTGCAAACCTATTTGGCAATAAACTTTATTCTGATTTGGAAATATTGTGTCCTTTACAACGTTCTACCAGAAGAGGTCAGTGTTTACTCTCCTACGGGTGTATCAGATCTATGCCATTTTAATGGCAGCAAAAGCAAATACCAAAGCAGCATTAGACAGAAAAATAAAACAGTTATTCTAAATTTGTTCCCTTTTTCTAATTTTCTTCTTCTTTTTTCTGGCTACAGGTATCTTTGGGCCATTGGCAAAAATGTGTGGAAGAGATGGAAGAAGAGATTCTTTGTCTTGGTCCAGGTAGGTACATTCAGATCATTTTAATTCACTTTAGAGACATTATAATGGAAACTGCTTACAAAGAACAGTATAATATTGCTATTTTATAATTGTTGTGTGACTCTGTATTTTCTGTATTTTGGGAGCATTTTACTTGTAACATCTCCCTTCCTGAATTAGATGAGATAGAGTGCTGCAAAAGCAATAATATCTAAAAATGTCTTAAAGTAAGTGTATTTACCCTTAATTTGAGCAAAATCAAATTAGGTTATTTACTCTTAAAATAAGATAATATGCACTTGAAATAAGGCTGCAATGTTTTTTTTTTCTTATTTTAAATGTAAATAGTCTTTTTCCACTGGCAAAGTCTTTCACTTACGTCTTCAGTTCAGGACAAAATGCATTTATTTTCAGAAAAAAATACTTTTTGCAATGTGATGAAACCTGATATAATATCCATATTTATCACGTATTTGTGATTAATCATTTGGGTGCTTCTTCAATATGATTAATTCATCTACGCAAGTCAGAGGTTTGACTAAACCTCACTGAGGTATGAGCGACCGCTTGTGCCGTTTCAAACGGCAACAGTAAAAGCATCTGTGTTTGTTTAAAATATGGGGATGTTTTTAGTAAATTTTGAAAAAGACAAAAAAAAAAAACGTGATTACATTTTAAAAAAGAACTGTTTAAAAAAGAGAAATCCTCCTTCCTCGTGAGAGCTAATTTATGGATCCAACGTTTTATTTTTTTTTTACAAACCACGTGTGTGTGTGTGTGTGTGTGTGTGTGTGCAGTGAGAAAAAGAGAAGCAGCACAGCTGTCTTCTTTTTGCTGTCAGATGAATGATGGAAAGGCCAAGCAGGCTTTTGTCAGGAGATAGTTGGGTGGGTGGGGGTGGCGGGTGGAGGCCATTTCCTGGTGGCTCCACATCGGGAGGTGGGCAGCAGGCGGTAGAGAAGGGGGTGGGCGGCAGTAGGCCTGTCTCCTCTGCGTTAGAGAGGATATGTCTCAGAGCTACAAGTTGACAGCGGATTGACAAAGTCGAGTGAACACTAGCTGGTCTAACACTTGCAGCTAGAAAAGCCTGAGCGCCGCCAACTTGAAGCCTCTCACTTGCTCCCAGCTAAATTTATAGCAAGTGACAAATACTGGTCAATAGACTCATGTGTATGTGTTTGTTTTTATATCTGTCTGTACATGAAGTTTGAATGGAGAAACAAAGGTGCTGTGCGTTTCATAGACGCTGGGCTGCAGAGCTAAAAATTCAGTGGATCTTCTTTTGGCCATTGACTAACTTCTTCAGAGGTCAAAAACTGGTTGATGTGACGACATGATTTACATCCAAACCACGCCTGCATTTGGTTGAAAAGCCATAATTTTCAGCTCATTGAAAAGACGTTGAAGACGTCTTTTCATCATTTATTATTGGACTAAAGTTGGACCAAATCAGACCGACCAAACAGCCCAATTCTCAATAACTATTTCTGGACTAAATCAAGATTATGACAGACCAACCAGATTTAGCCTAAACACCAATGTCTACATGATGCATTGTATTAATTATTCTATTTATCCTAATCAAATGTTTGGATCAACTTAGTATTTTAGTTCCAACCTTATCGGACAATAAAATATTAAAAAGCCTTTTAATTTGAAGGATTGTTATTGTGCATCTTGGTTGTCTGAGGTGTAAAAAAAAAGAAAAAAACATTTAACTCAGGGAAAGAGCAGGGTATGAAAAGCCTTTGCTTTTCTAACGTATTTTAGAACACATGGATCATAAATATATATTTTTTAGTACCTAAATGTATATATATGAAAAAAATCTGGAACAAATAAAGCTGGATATTTTAAATCATTCTAAATCCAAACCTTTAGTAAAAATAAAAAATTATTTGATAACATAACCTTCTCATTTATTCGTCTTTAAAGTGGTTAAATTGTACTTTTTTGTTTCTTTGATAGTTTTGCATTGTTTAGACCTTAGTAAAAGTCTATAAGGTGAGAAGGTTTGACCAGGTTATGAAGCTGGTTATGGATTTTAAAAAAAGTGAAACAGAAAAACTAAATTAAGCACGGCTCAGTGTAATAGTAATGATGTTATAACCTGCTTTTTACCTTTAGACTATGATCTTTTCATGTTAATGAAGACAGCAGAGAGAAGTGGAATTACCTATTTTTTTTTTTAATTATTGTTCATCTTCTTCCTTGTTATGTTTGTTGTCTTTAAAAAAACAACCTAAGAGCTATTTTTCAAGGGAAGCGCTCTAGCTGCTCTGCTCACTGTTGGCGCTCTGAACAAACAGAGCCCTGTGACCGTAGGGGGGTCAGAACGCCCTCCGTGTTTCTTTGGTTGTTGCTTTTGGCCTCTTCAGTAGTGACATAGGGGAACCTTAATGTGAGGCTGTATCATGAGCAATATTGGTTCGTTGTATTTATGTGGTAACATTTTCCCACAATTCTTACTTAACAGCTCATGGGTTTGCACTTAAGGCTCTGTATACCTGCCAGTTGCCTAGTTTAACTACTATTTCATCAGCCAATGTTGTGCCACCTAATTAAAATTAAAACAAACTCGCTCACGTTCATAGCTCACTTTTTCACAAGTTCACAAACCTATAAATGTTATGTAATGAAACTAGCTCAAGTTCATTAGGTAAATTAAAGCTACAGTGTGTAATAATTACAGGGATATACAGTCAGAAATGTAATATATTATACATAACTATGTTATTTATCATCATCTACGAGCTCAGCCTCTTAACCTTAATATTTGCGTTGCCTTAGAATTCGTTATTTATAATTACATAGGAGCGGGTCTCGCAGCCATGGAGGCAGACATCTTTGCGCTACGGCAGCTCAGGTCCAGTCAGAATTCTGACTTTATTTCAGAATTCTGACTGAATTCTGACAATAAAAAAAGTCAGAATTCTGAGAAAAAAGTCAGAATTCTGACTTTTTCCCCATACTATACTGAAATAAAATAAAAAAAAATCAGTTAACTTTTTTTTTTTTTCATTGGGTCTAATCATCTTCCGTAGTTTTCTACTCATTTCAACAGCAAAAAGGTATCTGCAAAATTCAACAACAGCAAAAGCTCTCTGAACCAGTTTAATCAGCCATTCAGCATCATAGCCATCTCTGAAACAGGAATCCCTCATGAGAAGGAGGCTGTTCAATTAAATCATTAGAGAGGGGAAAACTGGGGCAGCAGTAGCTATGTATGTTGACAAAAACTTAAAATATAAAATAGTAGAAAACCATGACGAGATGTGATGACCAGAGTGATTAAAAATGCATTTGAGCCTTTATTAGTTATATATTTATGGAAAAGTCGAAAAATTTGATTGTTAGTGGTATATATAGAGCTCATTCCAATATAGTTCCAATATGGACATATTTAAAGAATGGTTTGAGCAAACATACACAGTAATATCTCAGAAAGTCTTCTTCATCTGTGGGTCTTTAATTCACATCTACTTACTTAATCATAAACCTACTTAAGAGTTCAATAATATCATGTACAGTTTGAGCCTTTCCCCCCAAATCACTAGTATGATCACAAATAACCATGCCAAATTAATAGATAATATACACTCACCGGCCACTTTATTAGGTACCCCATGCTAGTAACGGGTTGGACCCCCTTTTGCCTTCAGAACTGCCTCAATTCTTGGTGGCATAGATTCAACAAGGTGCTGGAAGCATTCCTCAGGGAGTTTGGTCCATATTGACATGATGGCATCACACAGTTGCCGCAGATTTGTCGGCTGCACATCCATGATGCGAATCTCCCGTTCCACCACATCCCAAAGATGCTCTATTGGATTGAGATCTGGTGACTGTGGAGGCCATTTGAGTACAGTGAACTCATTGTCATGTTCAAGAAACCAGTCTGAGATGATTCCAGCTTTATGACATGGCGCATTATCCTGCTGAAAGTAGCCATCAGAAGTTGGGTACATTGTGGTCATAAAGGGATGGACATGGTCAGCAACAATACTCAGGTAGGCTGTGGCGTTGCAACGATGCTCAATTGGTACCAAGGGGCCCAAAGAGTGCCAAGAAAATATTCCCCACACCATGACACCACCACCACCAGCCTGAACCGTTGATACAAGGCAGGATGGATCCATGCTTTCATGCTGTAGACGCCAAATTCTGACCCTACCATCCGAATGTCGCAGCAGAAATCGAGACTCATCAGACCAGGCAACGTTTTTCCAATCTTCTATTGTCCAATTTCCATGAGCTTGTGCAAATTGTAGCCTCAGTTTCCTGTTCTTAGCTGAAAGGAGTGGCACCCGGTGTGGTCTTCTGCTGCTGTAGCCCATCTGCCTCAAAGTTCCACGTACTGTGCGTTCAGAGATGCTCTTCTGCCCACCTTGGTTGTAACGGGTGGTTATTTGAGTCACTGTTGCCCTTCTATCAGCTCCAACCAGTCTGGCCATTCTCCTCTGACCTCTGGCATCAACAAGGCATTTCCGCCCACAGAACTGCCGCTCACTGGATGTTTTTTCTTTTTCGGACCATTCTCTGTAAACCCTAGAGATGGTTGTGCGTGAAAATCCCAGTAGATCAGCAGTTTCTGAAATACTCAGACCAGCCCTTCTGGCACCAACAATCATGCCACGTTCAAAGTCACTCAAATCACCTTTCTTCCCCCTACTGATGCTCGCTTTGAACTGCAGGAGATTGTCTTGACCATGTCTACATGCCTAAATGCACTGAGTTGCCGCCATGTGATTGGCTGCTTAGAAATTAAGTGTTAACGAGCAGTTGGACAAGTGTACCTAATAAAGTGGCCGGTGAGTGTATTTATTAATACCTCAGATAACAATACGTTAAGTGTATTAATAATTCAGCATATTAGTGATCATCTTACAGTATTTGTTGTCAGGCACAATTTCTATAAAATCTGAGGATAAAAGTTATCCACACTTTAAAAGAGTAAGAACAGATGAATCACTAAAAGAGTGCTTCAAAGAGCACTTATTAAAACATGGAGTCTGTTTTTA